CGGACGTTTTAATTAAAAGCAAAGATATAATTCGGTATTTTTAATTATAAAAATCAATCTAATAGTCATTTTTTTAACATGTTATATTTATCGAAATTATATTTCGACTAAAATATAAAATCCAATGAAAAGTTTGGAAAAAAAATTTGATTCATGTGAAAAATTTTATCAACCATTGATTTTGCAGATTAAAGAACATAAAGCATGAAAAACTTTCTCTTATATCAAAATAACTAAGTAAGGGCAAATTTTAAAAATTATTGCTTCAAAGTGAGCTGTTTTTGGAAACTTCTACTTTTAACGCAGAAAGAAACATTGATGTTTCATGATGTATTTCATAATCTTAAATTATTAAAATATTGAATATAATATTTTTCACTTATTTTCATCTAAATTCAAAATAAGAAAAAAAATACGAAAAATATGTTTAATAAAAATCCTGCGACAAAGGGTTAAAAATATAGTTCAAAAAATAATGTGCCATTCATAATTTTCAACCTCGCGGCTTAAAATCCTTCATTCTCACATGAATTTTTTTTAAACATCAAAAATTTAAACGTTACTTAAGTTTTACATAAGTTTTGTTTTATGCTATGTTACTTGGGCAAAATTGTTTACTGAAAAGCTTAAATGATTTTTATACAGAGATAAAAACGTTTAAGTTATGAAAATAAAAATCTTCCAATATTTTAACAAACTCTTTAAATAATCCTTATCACACAAACAAAAATTCGAAGAATTCCAGTTTTAAAGATTATTTGCAACAATTTGTAGATTTCGTAAATTCTGATAGCTTATTTTAAAAGTACTTTTCAAAATTCAAATTTCGACAAAAAATTTGTAAACTGTGCAAATTCTAATAACTTATCTTAAAAATATACAAGTTTACTTGTACCTAAACATTGTATGACAGTAAAAAAATCTTTACATTATTAAAGTTTTGCATTAGCGTTTTATAACTTGGTGAGAATTCTAAATTATCCTATCCTTTCAATTTAATATTAAAAGATATTTTTTTAATCTACGCTTTAACAATAAAAACTTTTATACATCAATAAAATGGCACAGTGTTGGAAATGTTACAATATTTAGTACTTAACTTGAGAAAATATTCAATATATAAAATATTCATTTGCTACCAAAAGTTAAACTTTTAAAGTTAGCATTATTTTTTTAAACAAATGAAAAACTTTAATTTTAAATTTAAATTTAATAAATAAAAATGGAGAAATTCACTTACAAATTCACATTTTCGCATAGATTTGAAGTTACATCTTTTGCACTGAATCCTTAATCTGTTTATTTTTCTGTGCACCAAACAGAATCTCGAATATACAAAGGCAGACTTGTTCGATTCTAAAATCCTACACCATATCATCACATCTGGAGATTACTGACAAAATCGTCCTTGCGTCAAGACAATGTTCATCCAATTAGATAAGCGCTAGCCTGGGGTCAATGGTGACGTATTCAATTATTTTGTTGTTTAGTTACTTGCATCTTAGAACTTCTTGTATTAATTTTATCACGTGTGTCGGAAATGGTTAGTAAAAAGATTCTGCTTGAGCAAGCGATATTTATCAATGGGTTTTTTTTTTTCTTGATTTCTTATTTTTGTGAGGAATGGGAATTCCTCTTGTGACATAAAAGAAGTGTCAAAACGAGCATTTAAATTACCCGAACTTTTCCAAGTTTAAGTTCAAGGCAGTATTTTATTATTCTGAATGATTAAGAAGAGAATAAAAGTGTGTTCTGTCGTGCAACAGAAAAAAATCAAGCAAGCGACAAAATAATTCAAAATTGATTTATATTCGGCATTTTTGTATAATAAACTACATTTTGCAACAAAAAAAAATTTGAAATAAATTTTTTATAATTCTTTTCAAATTCTGTTTTAACGTTAATAGTATTAACAAAAGAAGGAAAAATCTATTGGAATTTATTGAAGAAAATTTATTTTTCGAAATTTATCATAAAGTACTTGTGTTTTTATTTTTTCCTCCAATTGCACGACAATGTTTTGTTATAGGACATTACTTTTTTCTGAAGTACTAAAAAGAATTAAAGGGGCCAAAAATATTAATTTGATTACAATTTCATTAACTTCATTAATTTCACGTGCAAAATTATAGATTTATCATAAAACTTTGCAGGCCTAGGCTTAGATCACACACTTTTTTGGGGACCCCTAAATACTACAAAATACTTTTTTTGTGTTTTTCACAAAGAATTGTGTCTTAGAATTATTCGTCATTAAACATTTAAATAAATTTAAGCTTGAATTTAAAAATGTATCATAGTTTTCTTACATAACAAAATACAAATATTTTGCATATAACAGCATGTAAAATTGGCTTAAAGTTATGACCACTGGGGCCCTGAGAGTTCAGTTTTAAATCAGGGCCTTAATATTGCAGCTGAGAAAAGAATCAAAAATACGTAATGAAAGTTTACAAAACGTAACAAAAGTTTTTAAATACGCTTAATAATTCTCTTTTCGTTTATAAAGCAATTTAGAATTATAACATCAGAGTTTTATGAGGATCCGTTTTTAAAAATACTTTTAAAATTCTATTTAAAAAATTAAGTTAAAATGTACCCCTTAGGGAAATCAAATAATATAAGAAAAAATATGTAAAATTATTATATGAAAAGTGTGGAATCGTTAGTACGGAAGGCGTAATGAAGAACATCAAAACCAATTTGATTGCTATATGAAACTTAAAGGTATTTCCGAAAATCTCACTTCAGCCTCTTTTTGCATATTCCGGCAATCAAATAGGTTTTAATGTTTCCAGTCTCTCTTTCCACGATAGAAATTCGTTAGATGTTGTATATTTATTTATGTATTTTGGTTTCTTTCTTACTTAAATATATTAACTTGTGACCCCTAATGTGTATGCTTTTTTTTATTTCCTTTTTTCAGAAAATTATAAAAATATATGCTAAGGATGATTATTAAGGAACACCTAAAATGTTCGATAAGCATTTCAAAAAGTATCTAGTAGTTTAAAATATAGCAAATTATAGCACGATTGGAATTTCGTGCTATAATTAGAATTGAATTGGATTTTCTCAAAATGCCAATCTGATTAAAATGAATCTTTGCTAAATTTATTAATAAATAATCGAGAGGTTTCATCTATGTCAATAAATACAGTCTATTTATTAAATCATTTATGTTTATAAAATTATACTTTTCGATCCAATTTTAATTCTTCTTGTTATGATGGTATGTTTAAGTTATTTTTGTTAGTTATTTATGGGCACAATTTTATTTAATTCTTTTTTGGGCACCGCGTTTTAATTTAAATAATCTCATTTTTTTTTAATCTATATTTTTTTACTTTAATCAACAACCACATCTGATTTTCACTTACACCCCTATCCTTCAACACCTTCCAATATTCCTTCCTTCACCCCTACTTGAGAGTGGATTCATTCACAGGTGTGAATAGTCAAAGCGATAGTAGCGCCACCCTTCGGTGCGGATGAATACATGAGCGGGAGGAAAGAGCGGCAGTTCGATTTTAGGTATTCCCTGCTGCTGACGACTGAGATTGAACGTGATCTGTGGAAGGATGCGGGGTGGCCGGCCACGCGCGCTTCTAGGATAAGTCCTTTACCTTTTTTTTTAATATATTTTTATGTGCCCGTAATTTCTTTTATTGTTGTATAATTTTGGTATGACGTAACTAAAGAGAAATGATTATTTTTAAATAACCTGTCGAACTAAAATGTAAGTTATGTAGCAGTGAAGCAACTCATTTTTAAATTGTAAACTTATTTGAATTATGATTAAGTTCTTTGAATAAAAATATTTAGTCTGGATTAATTATGCTGTTGGATGTGAATCCTTAAAATTTAATTTGCTTTTATCTTCCAGATCACCAAGATTATTATTGCTGTAAATTTAAATGTGCTAATAGTTTTAAATTAACTTAAATTACTTCTACTTGTTATATCTGATAAATTTTGTTAGTTAAAGTTAAATGTTCTCACAACGCAATTAATTTTTTGAAAAATCATTCTTGATTCCTTAAATCTACTTTTTTTTTCTCTATTCAAAAATAAGATATAACATTCTAAATCAGGGCAAAACTTTGTCAAATTGATGACAAAAAAAAATTTAGTGTCGTATAAATAATAAATGCTTCTTCCTGATTGAGCCATTTCAACTAAATTATGATAGAGATATATTTTTTAAAAAAACGCAATGGTGCTGTGACAAAATCTCGCATTAATAATGTACTAAAGTAAAAAAAAAGAACATTTATAAACAGTTTAGAGTTTCATATTCCCTCATACCTATTGTTGTTGTTGTTGTTCATTTACGTCGCACTAGAGCTGCACAATGGGCTATTGGCGACGGACTGGGAAACATCCCTGAGGATTATCCGAAGACATGCCATCACAATTTTGATCCTCTGCGGAGGGGATGGCACCCCCGCTTTGGTAGCCCGACGACGTGCACGCGAAGTCGAGCACTTTACGGTAGAACAGTTTAACGAGGACCAATACCGCACACCCTCGGTCCCTATGCAGGCTGATCCAAGTGGTTACCCACCCGCACACTGACCGCAGCCAGTGATGCATGAGTTCGGTGATCTGCTGGAAACCGTGTCTTAACGATCAGTCCACTGCGGGACCCTTCATACCTATATCGACTGATTTGTTAATATGAACAGTGCACAGTGGGAATCGAACCCGCTACTCCCATGCTTCAGAACATTTGGCGGAAGAAAAAGAAATTCTGTTTAAAGAAGCTCTGATGATAGATTGAGACTAAAATATATTTTGTTATGCAAAATTTTGCCCTTAACCATTGTCCCACTAACTAATTTTATGATTGAAATAAATAACAAAACATCAGTGTTAGACTTTTTTATGACTTAAATTTTTATCATCATTAATTCTTTTATAAGTATTAAACTAAAACAGAGTTGTACTGGCCCTCAAATACAATAATTATTTAGGTGAAATTATTAAGACATTGAAAATATTAAAATAAAAATTTATTTGCACAGTATTTGAACTGAAAAGAATTCAATAAAGATATTTAATTACATGGCACAATGATATACTCATCAACAAAATAAGTTTTTACCAAAGAGGAAAAAATAAGAGGTACCACTCCACCTAGACAGAAAATCATTCTTTGATATTCTTCTCACAATAGTGTAATAGATTTTATATTGTTCTTTTATTTTTAATTTGAAAGTAGTACTGACAAAAAAAGGTGCATTTTGACACCACTTTTCACTTTTTTAAAAACGTATATAAAATTTAAAACAAGCTCGTCTTCTCCAAATGATGCTGATATCTAGTGACAATGATAAAAGTAAAAGTTTTTAATCATTCCTTTCTAGAATACATTTCACAAAATCTTTTTATCTTTTTTCATGGAAGAACGGAGGAAAGGAAGTTCACTTTATAAAAAAAGAGAAGTTTATAATATAGTAAATTGATATCTTTGATTTCAATGAGTTACAAACTTTATGAAACTATTAACTATAATAACTGGTGCTGCCATCTAGGGATGTTTATAAACAGTAAAAGTTCGTCATTTACTTTCATTACAAAGAATAAAACTTATTTAAGTATTTTTAGAAAATGTTCACTTTTGAAAATATAGATCTAAGAGTATTCAGCTCAAATATTATTTACTTATACTTCAAATGAAGAAATTAAGCAGTATGAGTCTTTAATTTCTATGATAAAAATGGGAAAATATCGTTAAAACTGTCGTGGTGCTAGATGTAGGGGAAGGAGAAAATCCCCAAGTGTGTGACAATGGTGCTTTGTTTTCTTTAGCTATTTTGGCTGGAGTGGTTTATCTTCTATAATATGTCTCTGGCTTCTACTACGGCTTCTACATTTACCATTAATCATTCTATACCCTGGCTGAGGACAGACTAAATTACGGCACTTCATGGCGTACGGATCATATCTCTGACTCGGTCCACAAGATCCACTCAAGCCAACCACTTCTCCGTCATTACTCAGATCCATGTTTACCAATACAGAGTATTCAACAGCGCTTATCTTCGTTAAGCAGAACAAAGATAAGACAGCAAAGATAAGATGAACAGCTTCCATAGCTAATTAGGCTGTGAAAATGTATGATAAACAGTTTCTTTAGAAGTAAATTTTCTTTAACTGCTCTTCAAATAAGCGTCTGAAAATAAAATAACAAAAATTAATCATTCAAGCACTTAAAAATAGTTTTTTTTAAATTGTAAATACACAGCTGAAGTCACAGATATTAGGTGGTTTTAAGGAATAAAAAAACGCCGAAATTATAGCGCAAGAAAAGAGTTTAGATAATAAGGCTGCGTCAATATTCAATAGCTAAACCAAAATTAAATAGCTCATGGCTTAATAATACATTGGAGAATAAAGTTGATAGTATATTTATGTAACAGGATTTCATTCAAAGGGGGAGATATCTGAGAAAGTATGGTCTCGCATTACGACCCAGAAGATCAAAGCTTCTTCCAACGAACCAAACTTATGACTTTCTTTGATGCATTTCAACTTACATCCTCAATGACGTGTTCAAACTGTCAAGGAAAAATAGTGCTTGCTCCTAAAGTATCAATGTTTGCTCAAGTTATACAACTAAGTATGTTATTTACTTATAAATTGTGATTTTGAGGCATGAACCAGAGGCCCTCTCCGTCACTGGCTATTTTAATTATTACCTTCAGCAAAATCCAGGGGGTGGGAGAAATAATGGAAACACTTTTATACTAATACACTTTTTCATATTTCTCAAAAGATATTTAAGGAATCATTTTTTAATTTCAGAAGGACCGGGCAGGTTGCCGAGCTGTAAGCGTGCCTAATTGCGGAGTCATTGGTTACGGGTTCGAATACTGCTCAGGGTGGTGTTCTCTGTTGTGTGATGTCTAAATGTGGAGCGGAAATAGTGATTTTGAACAAGTTTTGAACTGAAAATAGTGATTTTGAACAAGTTTTGAACTGAAAATAGTGATTTTGAACAAGTTTTCAACTGAAAATAGTGATTTTGAACAAGTTTTGAACTGAAAATAGTGATTTTGAACAAGTATTGAACTGAAAATAGTGATTTTGAACAAGTTTTGAACTGAAAATAGTGATTTTGAACACTCTATGCCAAAACATGCATCTATAAATTTGTAACTTGAAATAATTATTTTGGTTAGCTGGGGTCTGTCCAGACATTTTGTGAAGGGTCCGTTTTTGTAAAATTGTGAAAAAATTACTCGTAATTTGTGAATATAAAATAAGTCACATTCTTTCAACTAGGGTCCGCTTTTGTGAATTTGTGCAAATAGGGTCCGTTATTGCGAAAAAACTTTTTCAAGGAGTTTTTAAATTGTAAAGACATACAAGTTTATGCTCAACACTGAAAAATTATAATTAAAAAAATTATAATTAAAAAAATTAAAATTTGAAAAATAAACATCAATTGCAGCCACTAAATAAGCAATGCAACATATAAATATTTGGTATTTAGTCTATACTGCTGAATGCAGAATATTCATTTCGGGCGAATAAAAGAAATAGCGTCTGCCGAAGACAAAATTTAGTTCGTTTACATCTGTATTCCCCCCCCCCTTCCTGGGAAAGGTTTATTCGATTAGCAAAACAATAAGGAAGATAAACAAATTTGTGAAGGGTCCGATTAAAAGATAAATTATTTTGTGAAGGGTCCGTTTTTAAGTTAAAATATTTTGTGAAGGGTTCGTTTTTATGAAAAGATATTTTGTGAAGGGTCCGTTAACTGACACAAATTTCCTCTAAACAGACCACTGGTTAGTATATGCTATAATTGCACAAAATTTCGTAAGCCTAGCTTAAATATTTATAGAAAAAGGGGCATTTTTATATATTAAAAAACTATTTGTCTTACCTTTTTTTATAACTTAAAAAAATTAATAAATTAAACAAGATTTTTAGAGCANACAAAGTCATTATTTGTTCTCTAAAACACTGGTCGACAATAACAAAAACAATACAAATTCAAAATAAATATTTGTTTACGTTATTAACGCATGCGCAATGAGAGATAATGTCTGCGTTGGACCGACTGCTCAGGCTGAGCTAACAAAAAAGAATTTTTTTAGCATCAGCTCTATGTCAACTTTCCGCTGACGCCCAGATAAGGCGCTTGTCCTAAGAAACCAGACCTTAAGAAACCAGGCCTTCATCAGCTTGCGTCATCAATGACGTATTCAAACTGTCAAGGAAAAATAGTGCTTGTTCCTAAAGTATCCATGTTTGCTCAAGTTATACAACTAAGTATGTTATTTACATATAAATTGTGATTTTGAGCCATGAACCAGAGGCCCTCTCCGTCACTGGCTATTTTAATTATTACCTTCAGCAACCTCCAGGGAGTGGGAAAAATAATGGAAACACTTTTATACTAATACATTTTTTCATATTTCTCAAAAGATATTTAAAGAATCATTTTTTAATTTCAGAAGGACCGGGCAGGTTGCCGAGCTGTAAGTGTTCCTAATTGCGGAGTCATTGGTTACGGGTTCGAATACTGCTCAGGGTGTTGTTCTCTGTTGTGTGATGTCTAAATGTGGCACGGAAATAGTGTTTTTGAACAAGTTTTGAACTGAAAATAGTGATTTTGAACACCTTATGCCAAAACATGCATCTATAAATTTGTAACTTGAAATAACTATTTTGGTTAGTATAAGCAATAATTGCACAAAATTTCGTAAGCCTAGCTTAAAAATTTATAGAAATAGGGGCATTTTTATATAAAAAAAAACTATTTGTCTTACCTTTTTTTATAACTTAAAAAAATTAATAAATTAAACAAGATTTTTAGAGCAAATTAAAATTAATTACAAAACTTTTGTTTTAAAATTTGAAAAAAATTTGTTGAAAACTGTGCAATATATAAGTAATTAAAATAGCTCTTTCATGCAGTGCATGCGCGGGGAAAAATATAAAAAAATTTCTCATAATTTTTGTAATGAATCATATTTGGTAACTAATGAAAGAAGTCCACTTTGAACATCTTAAAAATTTAAAAAGTTTCACAATTTTTTAAGTAGTTTTTGTACTTTTTTAAAATAAAGCTTAAAAATGTAAGGGGCATTCTACGAATATTATTTTCTATCATGAGACAAAATTAAATAACAAATGATGTTACCCTAAAATAAATGTTCATACACCGAAATATGATTGCATCAGGAAAGAAAAAATACTTTTATGGGGGCCAACAATGCCGGTGCCATTTTTAATATATTTTGCTTAATAGTACAAAATGAAAGTTACGGAAAACCACTTATCATTTTGAGCTTTCTTTTAAAAAGCACAAAAACTTCTTAGAAAATTGCTTGAAATTTATTACATTTTTAAGATATTCAAATCGAGATTTTTTAATTAGTTGCCACATACAATTCACTTTTGCTTAATTTTAGTGAATATTTTTAAATTTATAGTAAAAAAACGTAAAACAAAAAAAAATAGCTTTTTTTTTNTTTGCTTTTTTTTGTAAAAACGTCCAAATTTCCTTAAATATTTAAGCCAGGTACACGTAATTTCCTGCAATTCTCACATGTAGTACCCAAAATAATTGTTACAAGTTACAAATTTATTGCAGCATTTTTTGGCACGGAGAGTTTAAGAGCACTTTTTTCCGTTTGTAATTTACTGTCAGTAATTTACAGTTGCAATTTACTGTAATTTTATTTTATTATAACAAGTGCAATAGAAATAAACGAAACACCTTGAATAACCTTCGATCTAATGATCAGGTTTTCACGTACTAGATCTCAAAACCTAATAGTTTGAGGGACTGACCTCAAGTGTGCTAATTAATTTCAGCTGGCGAATTTAAAGTTCTGAAATTAGATGCAAAAACGTACTTTCATTGAATAAATTTACCTTTCCTTCGATGAATTTGGATCTCTGAACCTCAGAATATAAGGAATAGACAATATGTCAACTCAATTAAGCTGTACTTCGATTCAATTTTTTTTTCTATCTAATCAAAGTTGATTAACTAATTGATTTGAACACAAAAATAGAATTTTATTTTTAGTTCTTTCCATTTTGTATTAGAAATAACTCCTTGGCAAGGAGACTAAAGCCGTATCAAAAAATTGTTTGTTTTTTTTTTATTTATAACACACAAATAGCCAGGCACAACTTTTATAGTTTTTAAAAGCTAATTATTTACTAAAAAAAATAATGTTCCAAAATAGTAATTGAAAAAATAACTCAATGTCTAATTATAAAAAAATGCAAAATTATTTAAAATTAAAACGGTGGAAATTCAAACTTCATCAATTTGAAATTTTCCAATTTCAAGGCGAATAAAGAAAACATTCTAATAATACTTTTAGTGAGATGTTTTTATGCAGAAATATAGAAGCATGAAAATAAAATGGTATAATATTGCTGTTTTATACAGAAAAATAGTAACAATCAGATTATTTTCCATTAAAAAAAAATAAGAGAGAAGTTTACTAATTTTTCCATTTAGTCAAGAAAAAAGTTATACGGTTGTATTTTCTCCAATACTAACTGCAAAAAAGAAGAATTTTTAAGACTTTGGTATACTTTTATAATAAAAGTTAAATCCCACTTCCACTAAAAATTTTTAGATTTTTTTTTTATTTTTTTTTATTTTTTTATTTATTTAAAGATTTAGCTTTAGCTAAGGAAAAAACAAACATAAATGGGTAATTCTCACAAAAAGGAGATTTTTTATGTCCCTTAGTAATAAATATTAGGAAATACAGCAAATTTCTTAATATTTTTCTTCATTCTTTTTCGTAAAGTTCTAACTAACCAATCATATGCATTTCTGCTAAATGTATTTAATATTTCATTCTTATTTTTTAATAAACATAACTTCAAAATCCCCTCCGTGGACGTCCCTACTTCTGTGACACAAAATAATTTTTAATTGCTGTTAAACAATTTAAATATTATTTTAATGATTTTTGTAGTTTTAACTAGTTAAATGTTTATAGTAACTTTTTATTTAATATTTAAAAAAAAATTATTTTCATAAAATAAATGAGTAGTAAACTTTGTCCATCAAAAATGATGTCTCCCTCCATGGACAATTAATATAGTTCGGTAAATATGCAATAAAGAGCAGCATATGCGAAATCCCTTTAAGACAGCTGGTGGGAAAGGTAACCATTCTATTTTCTA